TCACAAAAAAAAACGTATTTTGCCAAGAAGTGTGAAGTGACATTCCATTGCATTTGCAACTTGGTAATAAGTAGTACTCATTATATTTCTGTCTGTCGTCTCTAATGTTACAGTAACACAGTACTGTGGTACGTATAGAAAGACCGTTCTCTACTGAAAACTCCATATAATTAATATTGTAAAAACAAAAGTGCTTCAGAAACCAGAAGGGGTTATTGGTCTGTGTGAAAAAAGACCGCACAGCCCCTGTACCGTAATAATATATCACAGTTCTGGCGTTCCATGCATAAATGTATTTTATAATGCGAGAGTGGGGCATTTTTTTCTTCGTCAGTTGTGTGTATTAATTAAAAAAAATATCGTTTTACCACTGCTGGTCGCAGGAAAAAAAAAAAAAAAACATGAGAAAAACGCGACCTGATTTACCCCAGTTCAGAATACCAGGACCATGACAATACTGACCCCCCCCCCCGCCTCCCACTGTTTCGAATCATTTCACCTGTCCACACTAAGTCGCAGCCAAGCGGAAAGTTGTAAAGCTAGGTTGTCTGGGCCAAAACACACACACGTGGTGAACTTGCACTCGTAACGGGCAGTATAATTTATTTAAAAAAACAACATTGACTTTAGAAAAGTACAGCGGTAAGGTCACGATAAACAGTTTTGCGGTATCCCGGAAGTATAAAGAAACACTCGGTAAGTAAAGTTTAATTGAATTTGTAATTAGTATTCCGTACTTAACTTGATTTAGTGTTTGTAAACACTGTACAACATTTCTAAATTAAAAACCAACAGCTTAATTTAGAACAATAGATGTCTCATTTCAAACATAAGCACAGTCGACTCTTCGCGCCTATTTAATAGTCAACCACACCTGGACTAATTCCCGTCTAATCCTAACCATATATTGTTTCATTAAGGGTAAACAGAGGTATAGATTGCCACAAAGAGTCCCGACGTCTTGCAATTAAGTACAAAGACAACTACCGACATGTTTGGTTTTTAGAGTACGTACTTTAATTCTAAAGTAATCAAACAATGTTATTAGGTAGTTTTAAAGGGTGGCAGTGGTCGCGCCACGTCGCGTGCTTGGGTCCCAAGCGTATATACGAGTAAAAATAAATTGTTTGCGGAGATCGAACGTCTGCCACCGTAATGATTGTGAGTTCCGTGGATATGATATGCTGTAATGTGCTATTGGTATGCTACACTGTGCTATGTTATGCTGTGCTGTGCTGTGTTATGTTGCGCTGTGCTACGGTGCTGTGATGTGCTATGATGTGCTGCGCCATGCTGTGTTGCGCTGCTCTCCGCTATGCTGTGCTATGTTATGATCATAACTGTAAGAACGATTAGAAAAGGACCCCAGACCGCTAGTTGTTCGATCATTGCAAAACAAATGTTTGCACCCCGGGGTTTGGGGTGCCTAACGTTCCGGCAGCCATTGCCATAAACACTTAGTAACATATCGACAGTTTCTAATGTTTTTGTTTGTATTTATATATATATATTTGTATATTATATATAATGATATGTATCATAATGCCAATGTTGTGTCATGAATTTGTTTTTGCGTATCTGTTGACCGACTTAATTAACTGATTATTAGCGAATTGCTGTGTTATGTCTGTCATCGTTCAGGTCTATTTGAAGTTTTGGACGGAACTTGGCTCAGTGGTTTGGAACTAATTACGAGATATCCGTCGCGATTCTGACAGTTGGTATCCATAGTTATTAATGTAGTGAACGATTAATCAAAAGATATGACGTATTCAGTACTTAGTATGATTGGCTTTATGATTGAAGGTTACGCCCTAGAGTCTTTTACTGTTTTGTAATTGGTTAGAGTTTTGAAAATGAATAAAGAGAGTTTGAGTTGGTCTTGGCGAATACTCCACGACAGACGCAGTCGAGAGTCCAGTCCTGGGGCGAGCCTTAAGGCAGTCCAGTCTTGGGCGAATCTTGGTTCAGCCTTGTGAGAGTCTTAGGGACTTTTCCCCAGGGCGCTGTGTCTGGTAGAGTGCTCGATTGACCGACTAAGACGAGAGCTGAAACGTATTTCGTTGTGTGTGTCTTATTTGACTGTAAAGTATAAGTGACTTTCCCGATCCCGTACCTCAAGGGGACGAGATAGAGAGACGAGACGAGATTTCCCCCTGACGCGTGTGGAGAACCCCGTGGAGGAAGAGAATTTACCCCTGATAGTTTTTACAGGAAATCAACTCAGCTAATGTGGCAGCTATTGATTCCGTTCCTCGGACCATTCATGGAACTATAAACCCCTGAAAAAAACAACTACTTTTGGGATACTTGTAGGGAGAACAATAGAATGATTAAGTCTCCGATTAGAGAGATAACAGAATGTTTACATAGCAACGTAAATGTTTTGTTGTCTTTCTCAAAAAGAAATTGCGCGTATAATGATTTCGTGACCACCGTTCTATACGCATGGTCATATTCGGCACTATGGAAGTGCGTAAAAGTGACATGGTTGTAGGCAGAATGACTTTACCAGAGCTGATTTTGTAGTAGTCCCGATTTAAAATGGAATCTCCCAAAATGGAATCTCTCTCCCGGTCCTGTTTACTGCTGGGAAGGTCGGTCTTCAAGAAAAAGAAATGTAACATTGTATGTGACTGCATTTAGATGACTTGAGACGCAAACAGAAACGTTGTAGTCCCTGATTTCCGTCGTATTTACACATATTTTTTATAAAATGTGAATTATATTTTATCAAATTACAAAACTATAGTAAAATGTTTTTTCAAGATCACTATAATGACGAGCCAGTGAAATAGTACATCTAGTTCCGTCACAACAACTGTTTGTACTTAGAGGGTACACTGGTTGTAGGGCTTCATTCAAAATGTATATTTATATCAGAATTTACATTTCATATTTTCGGGGTGCAGTCATTTGTACGCATATGCTAATGGGTCTATTACATTATAACAGGGATGAATTCCCGTGAAATCCATAGTTTTAATAACGCCAACTCTGCAACAATAATTTTCAAAAGCACAGACCTGTTCTCTGCGAAGTTCAAAACATATTCATTGTTTCAAACAACACAGTTAAATGATATATTATGTTTTATGTCGAAAAAAGTTCGACATTTGCTAGAAATCGAGATCGAATATGTTGCGTGATGGCAGTGACCACGTGGACGCCCAAGAAAAGGTAACGACGAGCATGTAGTTCGAGCTACGGACTGGTGCAGTGTATTACAGTTAGGCTGCGTTAGTGCCACGTTAGTACGACCCTGGACTACGGGATGGACTGTCCCGTATCAAGTGTGCCCGGAATTGAAACTACAGTATATACAATAAAAGCAACTATATTAGACGAATCATCACTTGAATATACGGATACTGAAATTTATTGAATGTTTTAAAACAATGAAAATGTGTAATCCTCTCTGTCTGGTTTAATTCGATCCAGATTCAATTACACAGTTTATTGATGTATCACCATGGATACCATGGAATATGATCGATGATGTCGCCATATGACGAGACAGCGTTGTCTTGATGTCGCGTTACAAAAAAACACGATCACCGCAATCTCATTTGACGCTCTAATACATATGCTAATACAATTTGATATATTTCACAGTGCCACAGCAACGACAGTTGCCAAGGTGCGTAATGTAATGTAAACATACCGCAGTTCTAACGCTCACATTGGTTGTGTACACGTGTGTTCTTTTATTGTGCAACAATATAAATATATATATATATATAAATATAAGTTAATCTAAATGCTCGCTTTACTAAAGTAAAGTATTTTGCAATACATTACTAACAATTCCACTTGCAGCGTTGTATGACATGGAAGCAGTTGATATGTACACGTGTTTCCGTCCATGTTTGTTTTGGGTGTTATGTTTTATTTTCGCTTCCGTTGTTCATCGAACTTTCTCAAATATCGCATCACGTAAAATTTCAGTGAAGGAAAAGCCAAACGGACAAATCCCTACACATCCCTATACAGTGGTACACCCCTCTCACACAAATGGAATATCTTGGTGTAACGTGTAATGAAGTGACACCATATCGATAGCGCTGTGAGATAGTGTTAGCAGATCACACTGACGCAGACTGGGATACGCAGGGCACGTGACTTGCTACGTGGTACTCCCCCCTCATCGCCGAACAAGTTGGACAAGGTGTCAGATCGATATGGACCAACAGAACGTTGACTTCACTCCATCGTCGAGCAGCTTGGTCGCAGGTGAGTTGTACTTCTGTGCGTTTTGCAGTGGCGTATATTGTTTATTTTTTATTGTTTTTATCATTGGTGCTGATTCCGATACTTAGGATTGCCAGATCTGACGGCGCATTCGTGCGTGTTATGGCTGGGGAAAAAAGTTGCCACCCCCGATGTGCGTAAAAATGTGTTATTGTGTTAATTCTGTTGGATTGTTGGATGCTCATTGACGTGCACGGGTATGAATGTTTTGCGAGTTGACAACATCAAGACATCAGTAATCCACGCGGCTCTGGGTAACGTTTTAACTATCAACTAATTGCCTTCATTACAATCGTGCATATTTCTCCCAATTACAGGGTGACACTTCTTCCTTCGTGGAAGGTCATCTTTTTGCCGAATTATCAACCACGATTTTTCTTCATAAATTTTGTGTGAGCGAAGTTGATTGGCTTCGTTACAAGGCACTCGGTCCGACCCTTTGACCCCCACGTGTTTTTCTGGACTTTCCGAATTTATGTTTGTGCGCATCCCTCCTAAAAATCCACGTAATTTTCAAAGATTTTTTTTTATCTAAAAGACTTCGGGGGAAAACCGACTCGTCTTATTATTCATAGTCTCCTAGTTCGCAGCGCGATTTTAGTTTTTTTTTAATTGCTGGTGTCAATATAATGGGTTCGACTGTCGACGGATTTTGTTGCCCCCCCCTTCCATAGTTGACAAGGCAATACGGCGTATGACATGCCGAGGTAGTATATTTCCATCGTACCAATCACTGCTTAATTGTTCACGGATTTAATGGGATCTCGTTAAGCCATGCAATCTAATTATGCGATGCAAACTTGGGGGGAAATAGCCTGAATTGACTTGGAGAGCTCATCAAGACCCGGGATCACGCCGTTAATACTGGCGGTCTGCTTCGGGATATGAAACGAGCGGCTCGTGAAGACAAATGCAAAGAATCGGGAAAGGCAGTCAGCGTGCAAAATACGATCTACGTTACCCAGTTCGTTATTACAAATACCACGCCAGACAATACAAATTATGAAGTGGATGTGATTACAGCCACCCTTACGGTGAATAGGTGTAAACAGTGATCAGGTTTTGGTTGCACAATGGGCGCTGAGTCGAAACTGATTAGCTCATGCTGGTCTGTACAATAAGCGTTGTTATCAACCCCCGTTCGGGAAGAATCGAAAATATGCCATAGAAATTGCGGATCTGCACGATAAACTGGGCCTAATTAATCGCTTCTTGCCGATAACGAGGCATTGTCGATAATTTTAGTAACTTGTTATGTGAAATACGAAGTAACGAACTGATATAAGGGCAAGCAAATAGTCGTTCATTCATTAGCCGCATTCAGCTAGCGCAACGTGAAGTAATTTCGCTCTTCGCAGACCTTCTCGTCAGCCTCGGCTCGGTGTCACCTTCAAAACTCCCTACCGCATCCCCCCTCCATCTAGCTTTCCGGACCCATTATTTTATTTGTTACGTTTTGAAATAAATTCATTAAATTTGCCAAATTTGGTAAATTGGAAATTTGAGACTGGTTCGGTTTGATTTCGAAGAAGACAAGTAATGAGTTCGCTAATGAGCGAGACATAATGAGAGAATCAGGCAAAAAAAAAAAACAGGCCCTAATGATGTACGCCAGACGTGATTTTTCACCCCCTGATTTAGGCCTTTCTTGATTGCCTGCCTTTTTTACGACAAAAAATTGATAACAAACTTCGAAGTAACGCTGAGTGACGTCGCTGGAAGCTGACGCCGTTGGCGCTCCGAGCTCATCCGAGTTCGGATTTCGCAAATGATATTGCAGAAAACAAGCGAGCGAGCTAACGCCGTGACTTCCGTCAATAGGAATACAATCTACCTTTTCATTGATTGCTCTACGTCTTAATTTTACTTTGTAAAATGTATTATCCTTAATTAACCTTATTAGCCTAATGAGTTTACAATATTTAAACGCGCGTGAGTAGAATTAATTAATTAATTCCAGTCGTTGAGGGCGACCCAGCAGCCGTTCGACTTAGTGGAATCCGTAACAGTACTCTCCTCTCGTATCGCATCCTGTTGCTTATTTCTTTCGGGGTGTTTACATGCCCCGGGCTTATTTACCCAAATAATCGCCTGTCAGTTTCCGATGTACCCATCGCGTTTCGCGGTGTGCGAGATGAATTGAACCGTATCTTCAGAGAGATGCGTCCGGAAAACCATGGCCTCCCTTTGATTCTCCCATCCCTAGCGAGTTTCAGATATTCCCTCTAAATGGAAACTGTATCCGGCAGTCTATTGTGTGAGAACTCGACAAGACCGGGCATATTAGGCATCGATGTACAAAAATTAGAACATTACACAGTTGGTTTAGCGGCATCGTATGATCTAGTCAATATATTATTACACGGTAAAATCACCGAATCTGCCGCTTCCCCGGATTTGGCAGACACGGTTACACGTAAACACATCTGCGCTGCCCAATTTGCTGTGTAAACTGAAACTACTGTATTGTTGTAGACGGAGGAGGATCAGCTTCGGCCGTATGCGTATACGGCAATGCGAGTGCGCATCGAGTAAACATAATTTGTCTTTGCTACAAAACAGATAAATAACAGAAAATATGTGAGTTGAATGTAGAAGAATTAGCTTTAGTTTCAGTGACGTACGTGGCACAGGCAGGAGAAATTCTGAGAACTATGCACTTCATCATTTTACCGCAATTACGTCGCCGTAGTCAGTAGAGATGCTAATGACATATTTTCTACAGACATATCCGTGTGTAACGCGGTGAGATATATTGTAACGTAAGCAGGCAGAGAGGGGAGGGGGTAATCATTACTGAGCCCCGGAGCCCCCACTCGCTTTCAAGATCTGTAAATTGGATCCGTCTATTGAGGTGATTGTCTCATGCATTCACATAACAACTATTAGGCCATCCCCCATAACGTACAATTGAAACGTTATTGACAATTCGGAAGTAAGCAACCATTTTAGTAATTGATTAACGCGACATTAGGGCATACACTATTGATCCCGAAGTACTTTAGAGCCTAGTTTCACGCGGACCTACATGTCGAAAAATAAAGCAGTGATGCGGTGCATGTTGAATAGTCCGGTGTCAGAAATAGGACATTCAAATCATTAGTTGGGTCTGCTTATTGATATCGATGGGTTAACTAGATCGATTTCAATTCAAAGTGAAACGTGTTTTTTTAGTATAAAATAATCATGGTAATATGTCTACGTCCTCGGGCATTATCGTATCAAGTTTTCCTTTACTTTTTTAAAATCCTGACGTACTTTCCATGTATCAACAACGTAATGACCGCAACGTCGTCATTGCAAAAATTACCGGAAAATAAACGAAAACGAGTGATCCCGATAGGAAGGAACCCCGGAAGGCACGGTTCGAGTCAAAGGTTGGAGCCACCCAATCTCTAAATGTAGAGCTCCGTTCTAGAGAAACTTGTTGAACACGATTTTTTTTTCTCTGCGTAGAATATTATTTAGCTTGCGCGTAAAAAGTAACTATGTGTTGAACACACCTGTGTATGCAGTAGCATATAATGAAGTACCCCTCCCTCAATAGAAATTCCCCACCTTCTCTATTCAAATTCCCCACCTTCTCTATTCAAATTCCCCACCTTCTCTATTCAAAGAAATTAATCGGATTACTGTGAATGTAACAACGGTGTAACAAATGTCACTGGCGCGGTGAAAAATGGAATGTATCTTTTCTTGTTGAATTGCGATGCAATTGTGTTTGACGTTACGTGACGTGGATGGTAGGAACAAGCGCGGACTACTTTCCATGAACTGGCAAACACAGGTAACATAAAAGTATATGCGAACGAACACATTCTCAATTCATGACCTTAATATATGTTTTGCCCCACGATGTCATTATTATATCTTTTAACTGGAAATGTCCATGTTCGTTTCGGGATGGAGTTTATTGAGAATCATGTAGACTCGGCGTTCCGCACTTTACGGCAAATGAAAAAGCAAGAGGTCTGTTCAGAATAAAAACACTTCATGAATTGGGTTACAGAATTTCGATGATTACATTAGGCCCGTCTATAAAACGTTTCCAATATTCTATTGAAATAGTGAATTTCATTAGAGAACACGTAAACGGTAGAACAAACTAACCTCTAACTACATTTAGACTTAGATTTAATAAAAAAACAAGTAATTTACCTGAAAATGTCAGTAATAAAACCTCTAAATGGGTGCAGAATTTAAGTAATCGATAAAGAAACGCACTCGATCGTACATTGAGTTAGGGTTCAATCATTGGAGAAGAAACAAACCCGAAATGTCGTCCGTCTTATTCTTATTTTATTATTTTCTACTGCATTTTTTTTATTTCATGTTTTTTTTATTAGCATACATCGTGCATCATGGCTGTTATGAACCCACGTTGCTCGAAAGCTCAATCCCCTTCTAAGTCCGAACCGTTTCGCATCGGCCGATCTCTGAGCGTGGTATGAAATCAACGTGCTGTGGCTATTACATTATACAAGCGCCCGATTACGTTGCATTGCATTGTACGCTATTACCGTACATGCATATTAATATTATTGCAATGTACATTATATACGTGCGTCGGAGATGAAATTGGGCGAGCCCAATTGTCTGGGCTCCTGGAAAATTGTCTGGTAAAAAGTACACTAATATAAAATGAGTCGGAGTTTAAATTAAACTTATACAGCCATCTCAACAATTTAATTGAATTAATTAAAGGGAGCCACTTCAATTTTTAAATGAGACACTATGTTGCGTCCATTAGCTCCATTATGGAAACTAATAAATATTACTGCATTTTAGGCATCACATATGACGACATGGGACGATTCTACTCACAGCACTCTTTATTTTAATGGGAAACTACGGGGGGAATAAACACCACCCGTAATTTAATGACCGGTTATTTAAATTGGACTACAGCTTCATTTACTTAACGTTATTGCATACTCGTTCGTTTTGATATTTTCTGTCATTTTGGATCACGCTGAAATTGA